TAAAATTTAACAAAAACTACACGTGCGACCGCACTTATTAATATAAAACCTAATTAGTATAAAAAAATATTTTATATTGATAATACTTTAAACTTTATACTTCTCGGCCTCTCGCTACAATAAACATATTTCATTCCATTATCTATTACCCATTGAAAATACTATCTTTAAAACACTAAAGTTTCTCTCGATTTCTCTATTGCACACCGTAGGAGAAATGTTAAAACATAGGCTTATGATTTATGGTAGCGATGGACAGCAAAATAGAGCCATAACTTATGCCCTCATTTTCCTTTCGCCCTGACAGAAGAACATAAAGACCTCATTTCACAGAACTATGGTAACCAGAGACAAAAACCGAGTAGATTTAAACATAGTTTTAAAAAATAAAACGAAGGTAGTCGTGTGACCCGTTTCAGTGAAATCGTCGTTCTATTTGCAAAATAGTTTCTTTTTTCTGTTTTCGGTACCATTTCGTTCGGTTTTTAAAAACGCACGTGCACGTGTATTCTTTTTTCATGTTTCCTAATTCAAGAGCTATTATTTAAAACTGTGTTCTTTATATTCATTGTAATGACTCATTTATACATAATAAATGGTTTAAATATATTTTTTATCTCTTTTGCTAAGTTGAATATCTCAAATACTTGTCTGAAGCATTTTTGAATCTCTTATCTATCATAATTTGTATCATAACTAGAAAATAAGTATAAAGTTTACATTGTTATACCACCATTATTAAGCCACCATTTTGAACATAAATTAGTAAATGTATGTTTTTAATTTATTTATTTATAATTAAAAAAACCATTTCATTATTTATATCATTAAAATCAGTAAAAGTATGACGTAGGCATTAAACCTTTGTACATAACCGTGAAAATCAGAGCCGACTACGCTTATTATTAAACGTGCGGCAACATCAAAGCCCAATGATAGGAAGTTGAAAATGCAGCGTAACTAACGCGCTAACTGTAGTTTAAACTCAGTATTATAAATACAATAATACTATTGATAGTGATTCAACTGAATGCGAGACCTTATTGAGTTAAAAAAAAAAGAAAATAACTATATTTACATACGCTTTTTTGTTTCTATTACCTAAATTGTAGTTCCTATGCATCTTGTTTGGAATCTCATCGTATAATTGTATCTAGTTATCTTTATACATAAAAGGTAAAGGTCACTGAATTGATTGGACTAAATTTTCATATCAAAACATTGGACAACTCCAGTTATTATTGAACACGCTATTATTTATCATCACGTAGAGCTTCGCTAAGTATATTACGACCATCTCGGGTGAAACTGCGGACGAAAAGCTAGGTAATATGTAGATTTTTATGTGGAATTTGAGAGGCTAGAGAGAGACATATTAAAAGGCTCAGAGAATCTTGCTCTTCTGTCGAAGCCGAGGATAAAAGTTAGCCTTATATAAGATTCTGGTAACAACTATATTATAATATGCAGGAATGTTACCTATTCTATTATTTATTGTCGCCTAAAAACGGATGAATCTTTGATAAATGATAACTGTTTTACCAAAAAAAATAGAGTGACACTCTTTTAATATGAATTGCCTAAAACTTAAAATTAATCCTTTGCTAAATAATTGTACCGTTAACTAATTAGAACCTGAATAAACAGACATTCGATTTGTTAAATTGCCCCAGATAACATTAAGAAGACTTCCGGCCAACATAAAACATCCATCGCACTGTGCCCAGGTTAGAAAGTAGGTTGTAATAGAAAACTAGATTTAGGCAGTAAAAGTCTTAACCGAACATAAAGCGTCTAACAAACCTATTTATGGATGAGGTTTATTGTTCCTTGAATATGATGGTGGGACATTTCTGTAGCTCTGTTGCTACACGACCGCTGCTCGACGAATATATTATTTGGTGCTCTAGTAGAAATATTATGTTATAAATTCCCATTGACACTAAAACCAAATTACTGTAATTTAGAGATTTGAAAACAGGAATATTTAAAAAATTGCGATTCGAAATTGAAACAGTTAACATATACCTAGGTTATTTGTTCTGATAACTACGTTATTGAAAGCCTAAATTTATATACAAAATAATGGTTTTGCATTACAAATTTACAACATATGCACTGACGCAAACTTTACAGGAGCTAATTTTATATTCGGCATGTGTGTCAAAATGATTTAAATAAAACCTCAGCAGTATATTTGCTCAAGGAGAGCAAAACACTAATTTTCAGCCTGAGGCACAGGACACGTGCACCCAATATATTTTATAATTTATTGCTGGTAAAACGGGAAAATTGCCTGGACCTCGAATTGGAACTAATTTTCGATATTATTTACAACAATGAGTAGGTCTGTTAAAATAGGAAGAAGAAACAATGTGCGATATCAAATGTTGGTCTTTAGTAATATTACTGGGACTTTGATTGCAATTTCCATGTTTTCGTAATTAATCTAGAGCATTTTACATCATATATTAAATGCAAATTTAGGAAAAGTCAAAATTAGCGTCGCAAATAGCATCAAAATTATTAACATTATTTCGTCTCAGAATAAAACCTACAGTACTATCTACTTTAAGTAGCATCTCTAGGAGACCAGCTGTGCTATCAAAAACAGCCTCGAACTGAACGTCAATCACAGCGCTGTACATTATTTGGAGATTTGCTAACTTCATATTTCCGAAGATGACCGACACATCTAAGCAGTATAATGATATAGAGATGCTCTTACACAGTTTATGTGCCTATTCAGAATAACATACTTGGAAATATTATATCAAAACAAAACACGATGCAGGGTTACAGCTCGGTATAGATAACGGTAGCGTCTTTTTTTTTATTATTGGCGTTTCTTTTTTGGAATTCGCCAAGATCCAGTGTTTTGATCAATTTATTTTTGTTCTTATTGACTGCTTTATATGAAGTGCACATAGTGAAATCTCAATTTAAATGATTTTTAAATTGTTGTCTTATGGGTGCTCGCCTTTCCTACTATCAACACTATATAATACTCAATATTGACAAATGACACCGGCGCGACACTCGGACGTCTTATAGACGGCGTAAATGGTATTTAAATTCCAAACGTTTTTTTTTGTATTGTCAGACAATTCCAATCTTTTCCAATGTCAATTATTATCTGCAATAGCTTAAATAGAGATTCAATCAAATAAAGCCTACTTAAAAAAGTAACAAATGTTTCATTTCATTGAAGCTCTTTGCTGTGACAGCGCTGGACGAGGAGTTCGAGGCTGAATTTTAGCATAATAGCATAATTGTACCTCCATAGATAATGACACTACAAGTCTGGCCAAAACTTCTTTGAGCTAAATATCCATTTAACAAATGTTGATAACTTAGTCAATTTATTTTGGTATACATAATATATCCGTTCTAGAAATTAAAATATTTTTTTTAGATTATCTTTTTTTTGCAATATGTTTTCGTGTCCATTGATTAATATGCATTTGCGATTTAAATGAACGTTAAAAATGTTGTTTATCTTATAATAATCATCAGGTCACGTCGTGAAGGTCGGACTGTCAGAATGTGGTCTGAATCGTTGATTACCTACTGGTTATTAAATAATCCGTCTCTCAATCTAGTCGATCGTAGAGCTGTTTCGAAGTTTAATAAATTCCAAATTTTCATTACATTTACGCTCTGGATAATGACGTTTTTTATTTTAAAATTACTTTAAAATTTAATTAATTTAAAATTAGTGTAAGTAAGGACAAAGTTTTCATTATATTCTACTAATAACCAATAATCGTATACTAATGAACCTGATATACATTTAAATATTCAAAAATAAATGTTATACAGTTCTAAGATTACGATAATTTTTATATTTAATGCAAAATTTGAAATCACATTATATTTAAATAAATCATTTATTCTCATAATTTTACCGTGTTATTTAATAAGTTATTTAATAAAATTTAATAGACATGTTCATCTGGAATTTTGCATACATATTTACGGGTTCGATGCTTGGGCCAATTAATGAAAGGCTGACTAGCTTGAGAATGGATTTATTTATGGTATAAAGGATAAAGTAAAGAAACTGTAACAAACAAAGAATGAATAACAGTTCGTTTGTTAAACTAAATATAAAATTTAAATTACCAAATAAAACGAATACCTCTTTTTGGGTATCTTGAAAAAAACTTGGATCGTCCAAGTTACAGTTTACAATTCACTATGTTATATAATTTCTATCACAATGTCCTATTATTAATCATTATTAACAATTATTTTAAAATTTTATATTATTTTTTTTACGATTTAACACTATAATATGTTGATTTACATGTTTATCACAGATGATTTTTTACGAACTGACATCCATAAAGAGTATATTTGATTAATCAAAATTTTTAATTACGAAAGGTGTATAATAAAAAGAAATGATGTTGAATTTCAAAGACAAAAAGTTTGCATGTTGAAACCTAGGAAAAAGACGGTGGTACGACACATCGTTACACTATGAAAGATTATTATGGAATAGAGTTCATATGTAATAAAACAAATCATTCCCAATTAACTTTGAGCTGCTTATCTTAACAATAACTTTGATCTGAGATAATTTCCAGAGTCTGATAATGGAACTGCATGGGTCATAGAAACTTTGTAGTAGGAATGTTGAATAATATTTGTCCATCAAGTAGTTTTATTGGAAAATATTAAAAACGTATTGATTGTGAAATAAATCGTATGAAATCACACATTTGTACATTTTCTACATAGTTGTGACGTAGGCTTTAATGCAAATTTTCAAAATATTTCATGTTAAACTGAAGCAAATAAATTTGAATTTATTTTTTTCTATTCTCATACTACTGGAACTAATTTATGCAGACATAGGCTCGTTTAATAGGTATATCATAAAATCTCTGATCCAACGAAAGATTATTAATTTTGTATAATTAAATAGGCTGATTATTATACATTATCCATCTAGTTAAATTTCATCACTTTAATGTATGTGTTTTTTGTTACAGGTATCGGCCGACCATTAAATTTAATCATCCGTGAAGATAACAGTGCAATTATAATAACAGTTTCCTCATTCATTTCACTAATTTAAAATGACATAATTAAATCAGTGCTGGTACCAGTGAGTGAGTGTGTTATATCAGTGAAAAAAGTTTAGTGTTTTTTTTTTACATATAAACCAAAATGGAAGCGCTAGAAAGAAGGATGTTAGTAACGGCAGCCGTTGTTTTCGTTGTGTTTTCTTCACAATGTAAGTATGAAATATATTCATAATAATATTGAAACATGTTCTGTGTACTATTCTTTATTCTCGTCTAATGAATAAGTAGCCTATAAATGTTTTTCACCATTCATTCAGGGGTACTAATTGTTGTAGAGAATTGTACATGTCCCTTATTTTATATTTGAATAATCCTCTCTAATCACTATGTACATTAATGCAAAGCGCATTAAAAATCCATTGTGAAGCTTATAACATCTTAGTATATAGACAACGGGAAGCAACTTTGTTATACTACATTATATTTATAAATATAAATGTAATTTTTCTAATGGTTTTTCTATCAATTTACAGAATGATCCAAGAGGATTTTTTATATTTATAAAACTTATTAAAAATATTGCAATGATGTATTTTTCAACATAGATAAGTATAATATAAAAGTCACCTGTTAGAATAGCTCGAACTGCATGTGTATGTACAAGCATTCTTATCTGCTACATAATCAGATACTTTTACAATGGCTTTATTAACATGTCTTTTTTGATAAGATTGAATCTTATTTAATTTGAAAAGACGAATATTTCTTAGGACTTTATTGTAGGTAGAAGTGAACAATAAGACCTTATTTTACCTTAATATTTATTACCTATTAAAACATGTTACATATACCTAAATATTTTAAAAATCTTATGTATGCAATAAAACAATAAACTAGCTCGAGTTGATATCGAAACAAGCACCTTACGCCTTACGGCTAATGAAACGTTTAATGAATGAATCAAACGCCGTACCTATGCAGATTTATACAATTTCGACGCAGACAACAAATCAATGCAATAGAAATTATTATATGCTTAACGCTTCTATGATAACTAAAATAGAATAATCGTTTATTGGCACCTAGATAAATTACAAAAATAAAACTAAATACAAAAAAGCATTGCAAACATTTTTCATAGACAAAATGTCATAACCTGTCTGGTCCCAAGGTCATCCACTAAACTACAATAGTTTATCAGAAGCCGCCTACTTGATGTTTTGACGGTCACTATCACTTATTTGGGATGCCACTGTATCACGTCGTCTGATCAACGGTAAGATCGTAATGGGAGGTTATCGACGTGACAATAATATTAATCACTTCACAGCGATCCCATAGTGGCCAGAAAGAAAAAAACTTGTAGAATAAAAATCCAAATAGTCACTAATAAAAAAAAAGTAGGTTATATATTTCAAAAGTTTGAGTAACTAAAATGAATGAAATAGATTTTTATTAAAAATTCAACATCACGACGACTACCAGATGTTATAATTCTTGTATCTATTAAATTACGCTAAATATTATGTGTCGAAATACTCAAGCAAAATTCTAGTAAATAAACAAGAGTAGGTATTTTAATAGTACTTTCTTTTTATTATAGAATAATTAGCATATTATATAAATACAACATCTGTTTTTTCTTAGCTATGCTAAAATCAGAAAGCAAAACTTTGTCAAAACCCCTTCTTTTTTAAATTAAATTCTGATCATTTTCCCACATGCGCAGGCGGCGGCGTATGGGGTCACAGAAATTCAACCAGAATGTCCTACGTATGTCCACCGAGCTTCGTCAGACTCGGACACAGCTGCTACTACTTCAGTGAAAAGAAGACCACCTGGCAGAACGCACTCTTCTCATGCAAGGTAACATACTCTTTATCTAAAGAATATTAATGTAAACTATTTTGTTGAAAAATTCTTTATAATTAATTGCAAGCACTTACTTTGGTAACTGTGAATTTTAATATTAAGATACTTTAGATAACAATTTTCGTACAACCACGTGTAGCTAGAAACATTAACACAAAAAGCGGTCATATTGCTATAGTAGCAATCACTCCAAGGCACTCGTGGTTAACGGGAAGCTCTGGGATAGTTGCACTTATATCTTGCTAGTTTTATGTGAAACAATTTCAAATTGAATAGACTTGCTCAAGTTAACATCCGTAACTTTATATTTTATAATAAGATTTTATTTGTCTTACCTACTCTATTTATCTAGATCACCTGAAGTTTGTTAAGCAAACGGCAGGTAATAAAACCACAAAGCTGATTCATTGAAAAACCGACAAGGACAAAAGATGAGCAAACTTGACGTGACTACAAGATAATTTGACTCAGCAGAGTGCACACAATACACAGACAAAGTAAATAGATTGTGCGGCTTATATTAATGTTATTAAATAGTTTATAGGAACTTAAACAATAGATATTCCATACATTAATTTTTCATATCTGATAGAAAGTGACTAATTATATACAATAGCCGCGATTATTTCACTAAATATTAAAACATTGACTTCCAAAAGCTAAAAAACAAAAACGAACAACCGACCGACGACCGTTTCAAAACGACAGGTCTCAGATGTAGAGATGAAATTTCAAAGAACTGATACACGAATGTCAAGTTGACATCTAAATGCACTTTTAACTTTGCACTGATGCAACTCAGCTAAGGAGGTTCAGAGGAAGAACAAATACAGAGAACATTTGTAGTTAACACTATTTTGCTTTGAATTATTCGAGTCATACATTAATTAGCATTTGTGTCATCATTATTTCATTTACAATATAGCACGTTAATACACTTATTGTATGTTAATTCCCATAACATAAACTGTCTTTTTCTAGACAGACAACCAGTCAAACGAAGATCGATGGGGGTATGCATTCTTATTTAATTGAATATCATATAAATACATGTTCAATATTTATTCCAGTATAAGAAACTTTACAGATCGCTTTTTATCAAAAGACATGACAAGACAGGCAAGTAATAATTTTATGAAAAATAAATGATAAAAATCTAGCCCTTTTAGCGGGTACATTTATCGTCAATATTAATGATCAAGACCTTATTTGTGGATTAGCTAACGTCAAAAATTTCATTATTAATCAGGGTTCAACTTTACTCTGAATGCGATTTTTATGATTTCTTGTAATATTTTATTTAGTAATCCCCATTAGTCTAATAGTTGAACCATGTATCAAAGAGTTTACCAAAATTACTTCGAGATGTTCCAAAATTTATTCATGATTACATTGCATACTTCAATAAACCAGCAATCTGTTAAAACATATTATACTAATAATTATATACTAATAAAAGCCTATTGAATGAGAAACAATTTTTAATCCAATTGACTATAAATTAAAATGCTGTCAAAACTGTCATTGAACACTAATCAAACTATTTGAATAATTTAAAGTTGACAATTAAAAGTTCAACAGTGGCACTAATTCACTTGTCCAACACCTGTCAACTGGTTGATTGGAATTTATAGCGGGCACTGAAATTACTATGTCCTTAACATCATGGGGCTCAATATAGTGGCCGGCTAGTTAGGGTAATTAGGATAAGATAGTTAGAATATTCTTTATTGTACACACAAAAATAGAGAAACAATTGATAGCTTTATCACAAAAGCGATCTCTTCCAAGCAACGTTAAGATGGAGTTCTATGAACAATTTATAAACATAGAATTTTAGACGATTGTTAAATGGATTATGATTTTAATATACTATAATATAATATCTGTATACATACTTTCATAGATAACGAGTATCCTAAACATAATAATAGAATTAACTTTTCTAATCAAAAAGTTATGGTGGGATTCTTTGACGAATTTGAAACGATCTCTGAAATAAGAAGGGTCAGTGGAATTAAAAAGTGTAATGCAAAAGTTTTGAAGGCACCCAAACTGGTTCAGTTGCATTTCCGTAAAGTCAAGATCGGCATAATCAAGAATGGGCATCAAAAGACATCGTGTGAGCGGCAGTTAGTTGCAGTTGGCAAGAAATTGCAAAGCCTTCTTCTTTAAGAAGGCTTGGTCTGTACCCAGCAGATGCAAAAAGTTTACTACTCACTTGTTTGAGTTGAACATCCCAATTTAAGTTTTTATCATACACACTTAAAATTCTAACATGATTAGGTTAAGATTATTACAATCATTTAGCTTCGGAGACATGAGGAGCTTAGGAAAAAGAGTTCAATTTATTTTAAATCATTCAACGATCGATCATCGAAGAAAAGTAGAAGGGAAAAGAGAAAGAGGGAGGTTATCCCGAAATATAAAATATTGACATCATTAGTTCATTTATTCTCGAAATATCTTTTATTTCGCTATGCCTCTTGGAAAAGGTCTCTTTCAGGTGACCTTTCTTCAATTTAAGCATGCTGTAACAAAAGATTCATCTTTAATTGCATGTTTTCCTTTGGTATGTTTTTCCGTTCCTTACTATCTTATTAATACCAGCCTGTTACTAGCTCCTTCATACTCACATAGTTTAACCTGTTCATCTCCATTTCTGCTGGTTTGGGCATATTAATATATCTATTATTTTTATTTTAAAGTAAAATAGGTGAGAAATAATACACAGAAGAACTTTAGCAAAGGTCACTCATCAAATGGAATACCAAAAAGATATTTTGCTCCTTCATAACGGCATTTAAAAAGCTGTTCTCAGCTGCATGCACCCATCCGCACTGGACCCGCGTGGAAGATTGTAACCCGTATTCCCCATGTGATTCATAGGAACTTTTGGTTCCAATTATCTAAACCTATTGAAGAGAAACCCTGAAGATTTATTGAAATCATATTTGGTAGCTAGTTTTATTGTTGCATCAAAACGACTGAAACAATTATATCGTCGCAGTTGACGGCGATTTTGGCTATGTTAATGCTAATGCATCATTCAATTGAAATAAACCATAAAAAGTAGTCAAATATATTCACCAAAATTTGCACGTAGCATATACATATATCACGATCGGCGTCATCACTCCTCTGGTAAACAGTCATTCGGAATTCTAGTCATTTGCATGCGAATACCTCGAAAATGGATCGTGCTCTACGAACGCATAATGTTATGCAAATACGCATTTCATGCTCCGTAGAAAAGTAGGTACGAATACAAACGGAGCTGGTAGCCAAATTTTTTTTTTTACCTGTTTGAGCATAGACAAAGACAATGGAAGACGCAGGGTTTATTCGCCTGTACGATATCACTGTTTTTTTTTTCCATAAATTCTACCTTTACAACATTATCAACATGAATCCCTTAAGGTTTTTTAGATCTTATTTTGCAATTTATTAACACAGAAATATTAATACCAGTATGGTACTAATAATAAAATATAGTAAAATCGGTCCAGTAGTTTATTTCGGAGCTAATTCAATACAAACAATCAAAGTTTTCGTCTTTATGTTAGCATACATATATAAATCAAACATTAAACCTACATTACGTCCGACTGGATCGCCACAACACCTATCACAATTGTCATCGAGATGTGATCTAACAAGAAACCCGATGACATTTCTACGTTGCGTTATTCACGACTTTTTTATTTTGTTCATAAAAATATCTGAACCTGAATATGTAGTGATAGTACAAACAGATTAATATATCAGCCGGTGGGCATAATTTGGCTTCAAATAAATAGACCACCGGAGTAGCGGCGCGTGGGAGAACCGCGCTGTTACTATTTGATGCCCTTACTACAATACCATTACACAAGTGTTCTCGATTCTCGATTGGAACACGACTTGATCGAAAATTCAAATCTACTGTTATAATCGCCAAAAAAATACAATCGCCATTTTTATGTTATAATTGAAGGAGTATTTATTTTCATCCAAGAAATATTTATTAAGTTGATTTGTTTGGTTGTAGGTCTCTTTTTACACTTAATTTAAGATGTAACAAGATAATGCACTATTTTAACTTTTGTCGAACTGTAGTTTACAATTATTGCTTTATGAATACAGATGTTATTTGTAGATTTGTCAGTATTTGTGATTAAGTGACATTGTGTATATCACCTAATTAGAAATTGACAAGTTGTATCTTTATTTTATTTTTATTAAAGCATAAAACTCTTGTTCACTTTACGATTTTACGATTTCAAAAGATACTACGCTTTCTAGATTTCTAGATAGCGGAGACCATAACAACAGAATTCCTTATTTTTATATTAAGTAAAAAACCCATAGTAGGGGCGTAGTATGATATACACGTGTGATGGTAGTATTAATCCGGCGCTTTCGATACCGTGTTTACACATGTCGTGGCCATTTGTTACACCAATAGTTTTGTTGTTTCGACTGATTTCATTTGTAACAACGATTGAAACTCAACACGAGTAAATTTCGAAAGTTCCCAAGATTGCAACAAAACTGAAAACGTAATATTTTTATTTTCTTCTTACGTTTTCTTGCAGGTATTGCAAGATTATCTTCAGTCGGGCCTCTTTTTAACATACGACTATATATGCTATTAACGATACATAAGTTGTCATTGACATGATGTGGACATAATTTCACAAAACTATATATTTTTGGTCTCTTCATACCTTTTTCGTTTTATTTGGGTTTAATCTGAAATAAAATCTCTTTTCTTACGTTTTCCTCTTTCGCTGGTACTGCAAGTTTATTTTGATTATTTAATAGAATCAAGCGTTATTTTGCGGAAGACCATTGCTATAACCTTGAAACTATGATACCTAGCAACTTACACCTATATCCTCAAGACCTGCTGTGTACCGCACACAAATTCACATGTACAAACGGCGACAAATCTCGCAAAATCACCACTCTACACGTATGTCGCCCCTCCAGTAGCATAATCAGAAGTTGTT